CTTCATTGCTAGGAGTTTTCAAAATAGGAACTGATGGGAAATCACCAGGATGTGACCCTCTTGTTTCCTTGCAGGGGTGTCCTTGAAACAACAATTCCCAAAATAGGGGGGGGGGGGGGGGGAGAGGCAGGTCATCTGTATAGAACTAGTCTAGATGGTACTTAATTTCTGGGCATCAGGTGAAGTCAACAATCGGGAGCATTTGTGGAGGAAGGAAGGTTGTGAATTTTTATCGGTTTTGACCACTGTTGCGTGTTCCACTTAAACTCTGGTAGTTTAGTTTGTCTTCTTAGCGGAATGCTTTAGATCATGTAGATGCACCCCTTTGTCCACGGCGCGTGGCTCCTCAGGGACATCTCGGAACGAAATGGATGGCTTTGGATGCATGAGAGTTGGGTACAGGGGCGTCTTGGTTGCTTTGGATGCTAGGATTCTAGGACAGCTTCGGGAAGTATTTCTGAGAGAATGCGGGAGTCGCTGTTTGGCATTATCTCACAAGGCAAAATGTAAAAAGAAATCAGAGCCACGGAAAGGTTCTGTGCGTGTTTTACAAGCCATCCCTTCCTGTACGGGAGAAGTAGACGTGGCCATCCCTCTGGGGGGGAAAACAACCCACCCCGGTTATTGTCCAGTGCCACATGGCAGGTCAAGGAAAGGATTTATCTGGTGAAGGATGGAAGGGTGGGAATGTGCCGAGGTCAGGCCTGTTGGCCATCCGGAAGCAAACTTCCTATGTGGAGGAATCCTGCAGAGGGCTTTACACAGCGACAGGCCGTCCTTCTGGGATGCGGTTGATGGCGCTGGGGCCGAAGTGGGAGGAAGTGGCTTTGCTGGGGCTGCGTGAACGGCTGTGGCGATGGGGGAGGCTCGGTCTTTTGGTAAACGGATCTCTAGGTTAGGAACAGGAGTCTGTCTCCCTAGCTGGTCTCATCTTCGGAGTTTAATATTTAATCTGGGCAGTGAAGCTCGGTGTGCTGCTGCAGTGCTGCCGAAACCGGAGCGTCTCACCTCTGCATGCGTTCGCGCAGAGTTTTCTTGGCTTTTGAAAACCTTTTTGTTGGGGGCCACAGCTGGGCGGCTAGGCATGCGTTTTGCGTGTGAGAGAGGTTCCAGGCTATGAACCCAGGCGTTTCTTTTCTTCTTGCAAACTGTATGGTCCAACAGTCCAGTGATGCAAGAGCTGTGGTACCTGTTGGCGAGCGCCCACGTTCGTTCTGGATCACAGAGCGAGGAGAATTCAAGGAAAAACAACAACAACAACAAAAAAATCCCTCAAACTGCGTTTAATCGCACCCGTCCAAAAATACGGGAAATACCGATATAAGTGAAATTGAATAGACGTGTCAGGTGTGAATAACTGTGGACGCTTCCAGAGTTCATCGCCTGTCCTGCCTTTGAGATCAACGGCAGGGGTCCAGCTTAACAACAACATCTGACTGGAAGGAGGTGTCTTTCTAGAAGCATCTGTCTAGAAGGTTCCATTTATGGTCGGGTGAGCAGAGCAGCGTAGTTTATTCAAGGCATTCCGACCGGTTGTGAGCGTCACACTCCTTAAGGGGATTTTTATTCCTCCGCCGCCCACTTTCAGAAAGGGCGGCGGGAAGTTTAAATAAAGAGAACGTGGTCTTTACAGTACGGAGTTGTTTCCTGTTGCCCCAGAAGGTTGGACCAGAACCAACGGGTTGACTTTAAATCAGAAGAGTTCTCGGCTAAACATGAGGAAGAACTTCCTGACAGTTGGAGCGGTTCCTCAGTGGAACAGGCTTCCTCGAGAGGAGGTGGGCTGTCCTTCTTTTGGAGGTTTTTAAGCAGAGGCTCGATGGCCATCTGACAGCAGTGCGGATTCTGTGAACTTAGGCGGATCATGAGAGGGAGGGCAGGAAAGGTTGCAGCCTCAGGGCTTAGTTCTCATGGCCCTTTCTGACACGTCCAGGGAAATGCCGATCGCCACTTTGGGGTCAGGAAGCCATTTTTCTCCAGGCCAGTTTGGCTAGAGATCCTGGAGGGTTTTTTTGGTCATCTTCTGGGTGTGGAGCAGGGGTCACTGGGAGTGTGTGTGTGTGTGGGGGGAGGTATTTGTGAATTCCCTGCATTGTGCAGGGGGTTGGACTAGATGACCCTGGGGTGTCCCTTCCCAACTCTAGGATTCTCTGATTCTAATTTTGTCCGTCACCCAGGTCCCTTTTTTGCCCTTTTAGCACATCTGGAGAAATTAATCAAAATTTGCTGCTAAGGAATCGGTGTATGCCCTAGCCTCTTTTAATCTACCTCTTTGCAAAGCATATCTCCTTGTGCTGTTTTGAAATATTCTTTACTTTGAACTTGATAAGAGTGTGTTTGGTTTTCTCAGGAGTGCCGTTTTTTTGGCCAAGGTGCCCTTCAGTTGTCTTTCGTGCGCTTTCAGCCTCTCTGACTTTGAGGTGGAATAGAACGAGGTTTCTGTCTCCCGTGGGTCGTCCCTACATGTGTGTTATGAAGAAACATGCAGTTTAGACGAATGTCATTTTTTTGTTTTGTTTTTTATGTTGCTTATGGAAACGGAAGGGTTTGACATCGATGGTTCTGGAAGCAATCAAATCTGGCAACTTTTCTTAATCCAGAGAGCACAAGGCAGGTTCTTCTTGTTTCTTATAGCGCTTAAACTTTTGCTAGGTCCTCTCTTGCATTAACAGTTTTGTAATGGCCCAGGCTGGTCTGGTTTTGAAAGCTAAGCAGGGTCGGCCTTGGTTAATATTTGGATGGGCGACCTCCAAGGAATACCAGGGTCATGAGGCAGAGGCAGGCAAGGGCAAACTACCTCTGAACGTCTCTTGCCTTGGAAACCTTACAGGGTCGCCATGAGTCAGCTGCGACGTGACGGCCCTTTGCACCACCACCACCGCTTCTGTTCAGCCTTCCTTTTCTGTTTTAGCCAACCTTTGGTCACTTCGTTGGTTTAATCGGTTATACTCATCACTGGTATCGCCTGGCTTCTCTCTCCTGCTTTCCCTTCGGCCTCCCTCGATTTCTCTTGCTCCCACTTCTTCATTTGCTCTTCCCTCTATCCGTGCCCTCCCCCCCCCATTGCTTGGCTTGACTTCTTGCCCTTTGCTCCTTGCCACAGAGTTATTTGCCCTTCAACAGCTGTCTCCTTTCCATGGGGCATTTAAATGCCTGGCGAAAACCCGCCCGGTCCCGCTGGCGTTGCCTGCGAGAGATCTCGCACACGCCTCCCTTTTTCTCCCCACTCCCTTTCCCTCGGCTACCTTGTGTCTGTCTTCGGCTGGTGAGGCCAAGGGCAGGGCCTGTGCCTTACTCCTGCTGTGTGTCGAGTGCCAAGTCTTGGTTGGCTCGCTGGGAATAATAATTAACTCCTGGGCCCTCTAGCAGGAGGGAACAGCCTTGCACTGGCATGACTTCCTCGCATACGGATCCTTCACGTGTCCCGGGGCAACCGGCAAGCATTTTTCCCAGGCGGCGGCGTGTAGCCTTGCTGTCGGCACGGGACTGCCGCCCTTCCGAAGTGGGTTGGGGCGTGGTGTCCAAGCGCGGCTTGTGCTGGGGGCGAAGGAGGAAGTGTTTGTTGTGGATTAGAGAGCGCTGGGTGCAGGGGACGGGCGGTGGGAAGCTCTGGGGTTGCAGAGTGGGGGCGTGGATCAACACCTGGTCTCCTTCCTGTGTGCCGCATGGCTTGGGCGTGGGGGGCTGTGGACCATCGGCAGAGCCCCCGCTTCACACGCAGAAGGGCCGAGGTCCAGCCCTAGACCTCTCCGGTTATCTTCCTCTTCCTGAGGCCCTGGAGAGCAGCGGCCCATCAGAGGAGGCCACGCTGAGCCAGTTGAGCCAACAGCCTGATCCCCGCCGTGTGGCAGTTTCGTAGGCCCCTTTGCTGAGGAGTGGTGGAGCACCTGCCTTGTAGGCAGAAGGTCCCAGGTTCAAACCCCGGCATCTACCGTTAAAAACGTCTGGGGGGGGTGTCAGTCCTGGGGAAAGCCTTTTCTCCTCCTCAGACCCTGGAGAGTCACTGCTAGACGGACGGAAGGTCTGCCTCGATGTAGGGGGAACCTCGTGTGCTCATGTGACTTAGCGGGGCAGGTAGAACATAAGAACATCAGAGACAACAATGTTGGATCAGGCCAAAGGCCCATCCAGTCCAACACTCTGTCTGTCACACAGTGGCCAAAAGTACCAAGTGCAATCAGGAGGTCCAGCAGTGGGACCAGGACACTAGAAGCCCTCCCACTGTTGACCCCCCACCAAAGCACCAAGAATACAGTGCATCACTTGCCCCAGACCGAGAGTTCCTATCTATACCTTGTGGCTAATAGCCCCTGACGGACCTCTGCTCTTAACATAAGAACATAAGAGAAGACAATGTTGGATCAGGCCAGTGGCCCCTCCAGTCTAACACTCTTCTGTGTCACACAGTGGCCAGAAATACCAGGTGCCCTCAGGAGGTCCAGCAGTGGGGCCAGGACACTAGAAGCCCTCCCACTGTTGCCCCCCCCCAAGCACCAAGAATACAAAGCATTCCTTGTCCCGGACATAAGAGAACATGAGAGAAGCCAATGTTGGGTCAGGCCAAAGGCCCATCCAGTCTAACACTCTTCTGTGTCACACAGTGGCCAAAAACACCAGGTGCCGTCAGGAGGTCCAGCAGTGGGGCCAGGACAATAGAAGCCCTCTCGCTGTTGCCCCCCCCCAGACATAAGAACATAAGAGAAGCCCATGTTGGATCAGGCCAGTGGCCCATCCAGTCCAACACTCTGTGTCACACAGTGGCCAAAAATACCAGGTGCCACCAGGAGGTCCACCTGTGGGGCCAGGACACTAGAAGCCTTCCCACTGTTGCACCCCCCCAAGCACCAAGAAGACAGAGCATCCCTTGCCCCAGAGCCCCTATCTATACCTTGTGGCTAATAGTTCTCAGGGCTGCATCGCTCGCTCCAAACCGTGTTTCAGAGCCCGAGGAGTCCAAAGAAGGGATGTCAACAAACCTACAACCACTGAGTCTCTTTTTACTCTTCCATCAGGCCAATGAGGTGACGGACAGTGCGTACATGGGCTCGGAGAGCACCTACAGCGAGTGTGAGACCTTCACGGACGAGGACACCAGCACTCTGGTGCACCACGAGATGCACGACGAAGTGGAAACGGACAGCGCCATCGATTCCACCGTGCACTCGGAGTACGCGGATCCCATTGAGGAGTCGGAGAACGGGTAGGTCCCTCTCCCTGGCGAAGCCAGGCTGGGGCGGAGCAGAGGGCGTCGGCAGCCGGAAAAGAAGGCGCGGGGGGGGGGGCTGCCGTGATCTCTCCCCCGACCTGCCTGGCAGGGTAGCTGAGGGGATAGAAGCCCTGGGGGGAGGGACGGCCTAGGCTGCCCTGAGCTGCTTGGAGAAAGGTCAGGGGGGGAACTGATCAGCAGACTCTGAAGTTAGCCAGCAGGAAAACGTTGGGCCGTTGCTGAAGTGGTGAGGATGCCGGTCCCGTGGGAAGCTTCTCAAGGGGCCTGGTAAGGGTGCAAACAATTAAAAGCATCCAGCGCTTCAGGGAATCTAGCGAAGCCGGTCACTGATTTCAGTGAAGCTTGCGTACGGTGGCATGGCATGGAGCGGTTAGAGAATCAGCCTAAGGGTCTGGGAGACCCAGGTTCGAATCCCCTCTGCCGTCGAAGCTCGCTGGATAGCCCTGGGGCTAGTCGTTCTTTCAGCCCCACCTACCTCACAGGGATGTTGTGAGGATAAAATGGAGGAGGGGAGAATGGCGCTGCAAGCCAGTTTGAGTCCCCGGTGTTCCCCCTCAGCTGAGAGAGTGTGAGCCAGCTCACAGCTTTTTAGCCTCCGGCTCACAGATCTTTGTCCTAGCTCAGGAAGGGATGGGGCTCCAGAGAGCAAACTCATTGATGCAGGAGACAAACAGCTCGCTCACAACCTTATTGCCAGTCGCTCACCAAGGAGGATTTTTGCTCACTGGACTCCGCAGCTTAGAGGGCATTCCCTGCTGGGGGAGAGGAGCAGGGGATAGATATCCGAGCCGACACGACCGACCGCCCTGGCCTGTGTTGAGGAGTGGGCGGGTGGTGCTGCTTGGACTCTGCATGGCCTCGGGTGCAGAGACTGACGAGATTGCAATACTGGGGCGCAGGGAGGATGGCCAAGCTGTGGAGCTGGCTTCGGTCGGTGGTCCTTCCCCTGCCCCTTGCTCACTTGTTCACTCGCCCGCTCGGAGCCGGGGCTGAAAGGGTGGCTCGCCATCGGAGGCCCTGCAGCTTAAGACGGGGAATGGGATTAACCTGTCAGCCGGGGCGTTCTTTGCCGAGAAGCGCTGGGCTTCGGGCGGTTGCTAACCCTCCGTCCCTAATCGGCTTCGAGGTGGCCGTCCGTTGACTTCTGAGCAGGGTCCGGGAGCCGGGAAAGGGTGCTGCGAGCGGAGAGTCCCACAGAGGCACGATTGCTCTGGCGACGCCGGGAGGGAAACTCCGGCCCCGCGTCTCTGAAGAGCCAAGCGGGATTGATAGAGGTGTGTTAGGAGAAAGAGGGAAGCTGAACTGTGGCCAAAGAGTGCCGGATCTTCCTGTTCGGCTGGTTTGCCTGTTCTTGGCTGGACAGTCCCATGCCGAAGAGAAAACAGATCCTCTTGTGCGGATGATGCGGAAGAAGGCAGCGAGGTAGGTTGACCAGGAGCCCGGAGTAGATCCAGTAGGAGGAGGCAGGAACCAGAGTCCGCCCTGCTCGTCCTCACACTTAGATCGGTCTTGGGAGGGGGGGGTCCCCTTAGTAAATGTCCCGAGAGGGTTAACAGTAGACTGCTGCTTTGGAAACGGCTGCCTGTCTTCAAGATCTAAGTCATGTAATGGACGAGGGGAGTTTTTCACAAATAACAGACCCAGCAATGGGTAAAACCTGTTGGTTTTCTGCTCCTCTGAACCTTCGGAGAAGGGCTGACTCTTAAGGGCAAAGGTTTATTGCAGCGGCTGCTTGAGAGGGTAGCCGGGCTGTGTGGCCGCGGATGGGCTGAGGGTCACAATTACCCCTGGTTCAGTTACCTGCTCGGGGGGAAGACTTGGCCGCCTTGGGCTGTGTGTCTCAGGCATGTTGTGTCTCTGGCTGACCTGTCCCAGACGCCTGTGCTGAGGACATTACGGCATAATCCTGCATACGCCACCCTGAGCTCTTCAGACGGAGGGTCGGAGATATAAATGTGGTAACAGGCAACAGTTCACAGGTACTGCAAAGTATCTGTCAAGTTTAACAGCCTCACATCATCGCAGAGCATACAGGCTTGCATGCTTTAATATTCTGCCATCAGGGGTGCTTTTAGGGAGGTACCGCCAGTTACCCTATGTAGACAGGCTTTGAAAAGATATAGAATCCACGACACACACCCTACTTCATTGCCCCCTCTATAGGGATATCCGATCTCGTTTTATTCCTCCACTTCTAGAGGGTAAGAGCTGGGACTCTGATGACTCCATTGTTCACTTTCTTCTGCTCCATTCTAATTGTGAAATAACGGAGGCTGTTGCAAAATTTTTATTTTATGCAATCAGAAGACGAGGCTGATGCATCTTGGTATTTTCCCGTATTTCCAGGATGTTTTGTGCTTTCGTGCCAATAAAGTTTTTGTGTGTGTGAGTTCACAGGTAGTGGCCTTGGGGGGGGGGGAGGTCGGAGGGCCCCTTCTTTTATGAATTCATAGTAACTGAGCTGTTGCTGAAAGACGAGAGCCTCTGTTCATTGAAAAATACACGCGGCCGGTGGACCCGAGTTTACAGTCAGCAGAGTGAAATCGGCATGGACATGAACTGGGAAAACGCGGTTTGTGTAGGCTCATGGTCCGTGGCCCCGCAAGCCCCGCTGAAAGTCCCTTTAAACAGGGTTTGCAGAAAGCCCAGTAAACAGCTGGGCCGGGGAGCAGCCTGCTCCCCTCTGCTCAGTTGTTTCGGGCTGCCTTGTGTAGTCCCTTTAAAGTTTAAAGGGACTGCACAAGACAACCCAAAGCAGCTGAGTGCTGGGGATGCCCGCGCCTGCTGCTCAGCTGTTGTGTGGCTTTGGGGGTGGGCAGAAAGCAGGGGCTTGAGTTTTCTGCTCTATCCACAAACTGCCATGAACGGCTTTAAAAGTTCGTGGAAGTTCGTGATGGTAGACCCGTCACGAAGTTCGGTTCGCGACCCACGAACCCGTGATGAATTTTGGTTTGTGGTTTGTGTTGGGGTTTTGGAAAATAAAACTTGTAATTCAGCAGAGATAAAATAGCTTAGCAGTGCCAGAGTAAAATAATTCAGGCCCAGAGTCCATGTGTGATTAAAATAGAACGTTTTTACTAAATTCTAGCATGGGGAAGGGTAACTGGGAAGAAAATAACAACAGAGCTAAACAGCCACATCTTCACACTACAACGGCTAGACTAGAAGAGAGCGATAATGGCTTCTCTACTTCTTCTTGAGAACAGCAAACAAAGAGAGGAAGAGAAGCCATAAAACGCAAAAAACACTTTGACACTTTGCTTCCAATGAAACTCCTAGATCAAGAAGAGTTTTCCCGGGCTCCTAGCATCTAACAAGCATTGGCTAAATGAAACACATGTGACTTCCTGTGACAACACAAACAAACATTTAACCCCAGATACACTGAAGTGTTTTTAACGTGTAATACCCAACAGTTTGCTTTGTGCCAATCCCTACAGTGGAACCTTTGTGGGTCATGGGAGAAATGGATTCTAGCAAGTCGGCTTGGGCTGTCTGACTTGAGATGGGGGTACAAGCTGCCCGGTGGTGCCCTAAATATGGGTGATTCTCAGTGGAGCTTGCTATTTCTCAGCTTAGCAGATTCTCCCCCCCCACCCCGGTCGTCATCTCTCTCTCCCCCCCCCTTTAAAACCCTTCCCCACTTGGTCCCAGAGGCCAGAATCTATACAACTGCAGAAAGAAATGACCAGGAGAAAGAGGGTGGGAAATTGCAGAGGAGAATTGGGATGTACAGGAAGGGTCAAGTATTTTCCTCCACCACCACCACCACCGCAGCCACACAGGCTTGGTTCGTTGTCCCCTGCAATTGTTGCGTCACCCCCTCCAACATGTGGCTAACTGGGAGGCATATTTAGGAGACCTCTACGCGCTACTGGAAACCTATAATTTCTCTCCCAACAGACTTCAAAGGATTCAGCAACTGCTGGCTTCGTAACAACAGTTGCTCTGACCTTGGTGGGAATTAGCTGCTTGAGAAGAGCCTGGATGCACATCTCTGTAGCGCATTTTTCTTTCCCACGGTGTTTCCTCTTGACCACCACCTCCTTGCCTTCCCTCTTTTGCAGCCTTGCGCCTGTCTTCAGGAGTCGAGTGCGGCTATTTTGTCTGCAGGCACAAAAGTGATAGCACATTTATATCTACAGAATAGTTGATGATTCTGCATATCCCCTTTTGAAACAAGGCAGGTGCGGTGCTGTCTGGGTCCTCTGTTTTGTTCCACGTCCGGATTCCTAGTTTGCAAACCCAACTCCTAGAGAAACTCATGAAGCCAAATGCCTGTGCTGAGGGCTCCCATCTCCGCTCAGGAAGTACAGCCCGCAGTGAGCTTGTGAGATGGGGGACGGTGGTTTCTCCTTCTCCCGGTGGAGACTGGAGGCCGTGTGGTTTAGCCCAGCTAACTGGCACCCAAACCTGGCATTCCCTGTGATCGGCTGCGCTGTGTGCCAAAGCCGTGCTTGACACGATGAAACGGGCAGGGAGGTGCGTGTGAGTAAGAGAAAGACCTGCCCAGGAATGTGTGTCGTTGATGGGTTACAGGACTTTTGCCCTCTTCTGGACCCTTAACAGGATTAAGCATTCCTGGAGTGCAGTCACAGTTGAACTTTGGAAGGACTTGCTCTTGGTCCTGGGGCCGCGAGGCTCCATCGTTCATCGTACGCTTCTGTGCCCTGTTTTTGGGTTTGTCCCTTTGCAAGTCCAGTGCGGCTGGTTAACAGAAGACTTTGCTTATTGTGCTTAGCAGAGTTAGATTTGTTTGGCCCATGCATTTATGGACACACTGCTTTACATCGTTTGGATCCGTGGTGGTAGCTTCTGCAAGGCAGTGTCTACACGAGTGGGCAGACTGTTGACGTAGCCCCGTGTCCCGGTGCGTGTGCCACTTGTGCACTGCCCTGGGGCTGGTTGGGTACCTGTGGCACGTCACCGTGAAGCTGAGCTGCGGGTTCCTCAAGATGGCACCAGGGTTCCCTCTAAGCGGAGTTAGTGTAAGCTAGCTCACAGTTTTTTAGCCCCCAGCTCACACATTCTTGTCTTAGCTCAGGAAGGAGGGCTCCAGAGCAAACTAATCTATGCAGTAGCCAAATGGCTCGCTCACAACTTTAATGCCAGTAGCTCACAAAGTAGAATCTTTGCTCACAAGATAGCATAGCTTAGAGGGAGCCTTGGATGGCACTGTGGCTGCTGCTGTCGCTGAACTAGAATGAGTAGAAGAGAGAGAAGAGATTGGATTCATACCCCATGGCCCTTCACTACCTGAAGGAGTCTCAGAGCGGCCGACAATCTCCTTTCCCTTCCCCTCCCCACAACACACACCCTGTGAGGGAGGTGGGGCTGAGAGAGCTCTCTCGAGGACTGCCCTTGAGAGAACAGCTCTGAGAAAGAACTTGTGACTGACCCAAGGTCACAGCAGCAGCTGCATGTGGAGGAGTGGGGAATCAAACGCGGTTCTCCCAGATTAGAGTCCGCGCTCCTAACCATGACACTGAACTGGCTCTCTAAGGAGATGCTGGTGAAATACCCAGATCTTGCAGCATGTGAGGCAGACCTCAAAGACCTCTTTGGATGAGGGAAACCATCCAAGAAGATAGCACAGGCAGCGTACAGACATCTGAAGGAAAGGAAGCCTAATGTGTGCCTTGGACTTTGGGTCTCTTGGCCTCCTCCTCTCCACTGTCCCATGTCCCCCCACAAGTCCTGGCCGCGGCCTGAGAGGGGCTGTGTTCTCCACAGGGAAGTGGCAGTCACGCTTGGGTACGGCGCACCTGCTGGTGGCAACAGTCTGCTTCTGGCTCTTCCTTGTCCTGACTCTTCTTTTCCTTGGACAGATCTCATCCCCGCGACCTCCCCTTGAGCACGGACATCAACAGTCATTCCATCGTCACCGTAATTAGCGGGGAGGAGCAGTTTGAGGATTACGGGGAAGGGAACGAGGCGGACCTCTTCTCGGACAGTTTGTGCAACGGAGAAAGCAGCTACGCCAGCTCGTCCTTCCTTTCTCCCAGGTAACAGCCAGTCTGCAGCGGCTCCTTTT